CAAAATTCAGGCTTTAAGCACTACTTCCATGTGACTGATACTCACATCACATGGCTATCGTTGACACCTAATTAACACCTATTGTTAACAGGGGTGGAGTGATACTGGCAATAGCCGCACTGTAGGAGGGGGACAACTGAAAACTGAGGCCTCCACCTCTGTTTAATGATGGACGGTCTTTCTTCACAAAAATGGCTTCTTTTACTCCTCTCTCAAACCAACGTTCCTCTCTATCAAGAATGAGAACATCCTCATCTCTGAAAGAGTGACCGCTGGCCTGTAAATGAGTGAAAACTGCAGAGTTCTGGCCATTAGATGTAGCTCGTCTGTGTTGGGACATTCTTTTGAACAGTGGTTGCTTTGTTTCTCCGATGTATAACTGGTCGCAGTCCTCCTGGCACTTCACAGCATATACAACATTGTTCTGTTTGTGCCGGGGCACCGGATCTTTGGGGTGAACCAGCCTTTGCCGTAATGTGTTTTGGGGTTTGAAAGCCACTGGGACATCATGTTTAGAAAAAAAACGTCTCAGTTTCTCCGAAACACCCGCAACATACGGAATAACCACTGGTTTGGGTCTGGGTTTGGGGTCTTCATTTTCACCTGAAGGTTGCATAGAGTCCTGTCTGTGTTTCCTGTCTGCTTTCAGGAAAGCCCAGTCAGGATAACCACACTGCTCCAGGGCCTGTCGTGTGTGTGATTTCTCTTTCTCCCTGGCTCCTGGGTTTGTAGGGACACTGTCTGCTCTGTGGTACAGAGTCCTGATCACTCCTAACTTGTGTTCCAGTGGGTGGTGGGAGTTTTTTTTACGTGGACATTACATTGGAAAGCAAAAGGTTCTTTTGGGATATTACAGAACTGTGAAGCTTTACCATTATTTGTTCTATAATTTATGGAGGAAAAAAAGTTTTATATTCTGTTCTGTATTTAATGAGGCATCAGTGGAGAGAAGCTAATATTACCAAGCCTGTTAAATCTCATCAGATCTCGCTCTGCAGTATTTTGAATTAATTAAAAGCTTGGAGTAAAATTTTGCAACAGATTATTGAACTTTCAGAAAGTTATTTAAATGGTTGTCTGTACACATCAAGCATGGTCTATTCAAAACGGGTCTCATCTGAAAATGTGCGCACCGCCATGACTTATCTGAGGGATCTAACCAAAACCAACAGCTTTGATTAGAGAGTAAGTGCCACGCCTTCCCCTGAGACCTGCACTGTTACAATTCACTGTTAACTCTTAATGCATTCAGTGGCAGCTACACACTCAACATTGACTCCTCAACAATAAAAATCAATATTTCATTAAATGCTCCAGAATCACTGCACAGGTTATTTAAACATTTAAAAATAAGGTGCTGCCTTTAATTATGGGTCCTTTTGTAGAACTGGTCGGTTACTAACTCAAATGGGTTAATGGTCCAAATCAGTACTCTCAAGTCCTAGGACTCAATTAACCTGGAGACTACATGTCCTCTGGCAGACTGCAGCCTAGTCTCTGAGTTAACAAATTCCGATGAGGAGAGTTGTAGAACAAAATGACTCACATGATCCACATGAGTCACTGGAGTGCGTGAGTCAGATTAATCTGCATGCATAAAGTGAAAAAAACTCACCACCTATAGACCTTTGGTATCAGATTTAGGAATTTAAGTATACATAGCACTACATATCAGTAAYAAATTCAGAGTTTTGACAAAAAGTAAATTACGAAAACATTAAGATCATTTTTTGATGACAAAGGACAACAATCCCATTAAAATTTACTTTTATTATAATTTAGGAACAAATCAAACTGACATCAAGTTTTTTTTTAATCCTCACTTACTCACTTGGCAGCAAAGCATTGGCTGCAGCATATGAGCCATTTTCTCAAAGTAGAAACTCTCCGTGTCCTTCTGGGTATCTAAAGGCATTCTGAGGCCAGAGAGGATTCTCGGTTTAATCCTTTCAGCAAGTGCTGGGTCTGCCCTGGGGTCTCCTCCCAGTGGGCCGTGCCAAAAAATATAAAGGTGGTGTCCTGGAGGCTCCTTTATCAGATGCTCAAGTTATAAAAACAAAACATCAAATTACATGTTGATTATACTAATTGATAATTGTTTTGATTTGTTTTGATTCTGTGAGTCATTAGATGAAAAACAAATTTTCGTTACTTAGAGCCCATGTCAAACTTAAGCCAAAATGATTTTAAATAAACTGCAATTCAATGCAACAAAATAAGCTATTTTTAAAGAAGTAAATCTAGAGAGGAAGGAAAAGAAAAAAAGAAGCAAAAGGAGAAATGCAGTGGGAAAGATTGAAAAAGAGAATAGAAGAAAAAAGTCACTGATGATGAAGAAACTCATATTAAGTTCTGTTTTCTACCAAAGTGGCTTAAAAAATTAAAAGGTGAAAGATGATACGTACCCAGCCCCTGAGCTGTTCTCTTTCAGTAACTGTGCCTCCTTGAGCAATTTARTGAATAGCCCTTGAATAGCTCTGTTTTTCTGCTTGGCCTTCAGAGGAGTTGGATACTTTTGCTCTCTCTCCTGAATCTGTCYCTCCTTCCTRCTTTACAGCTTTTTCAAGCCTTTCTTCTACCTACCATCCAAAATCAAAACTGGTCTCTGAACGCAATCGACGCTATTTTTTCAACTTTGAAATTGGAGCGTGGGGAGCGCAGCTATCCCAGTGGAATGGTGGTGGCTGGCCAGGTCGCTGGTTCTTAGGGGGCTTGGAACCTGATCTGTTTGGCGCCGCTTTCCATTGATGACGTGGAAGATTTGTACATATTTGGATTTATGATAAGTGGATTCCTGCTGATTGGCTGTGGAGGAGTTTGGGCTTATCACAAAATGAAAGTGACCCTGACAGTAGTCCTGGCCTGTGAAAAGCTGTCAGGAACCTTGGATGGAATCTCCCATGCTGGTAACGCACAGACTCAGTTGCTGGGGGATATAAGTCGCAAAMTGGATGTGATTCTGAYGAGAATCACAGCTCAGCAGCGTGCCCATGAGATGTAGGATTACACCTGGGTGAAGTTTCAGATGGAAAGAGAGGYGAGGAGGTGATGAAATTTGGAACATTCAGCTTTTTCGCCATTACAGAGATGCAGTTGAGACTGTAAAGCAGCAAGAAATTCAAGGCTGATTGTACCAAAACAATTRTGTTTATCTTTCGGATTCCTGCAGCTACTGACCTTGGCCCTCAGCAGTGATAAAAACATCCCTGGAAGACATAAGAATGAAGACTTGTTCCCCCATTCCCTCCTCCGTATCATCCATGGGTGGACCAGTCCGAAGACCATGGTGGTGGTGACAAAGAACTGAACTCTGATGAACTGAACTTGGATCATAACTAGTTTTGGACTCTGGAGGTCTCTGATTGGTTCCAGCATGGAGTATTATCCTGAAACGTCACTGGCTCCGCTGCATCCCACCCCGTACCATGTGTTTGATCCCCAGCCCTCACTCCTTAGCTGCCTTGCACTGAGCCAGTGGTTTTTTGAGCGTGTGCTTCTGTGTTTATGTGTAAACATAGGATCAGAGCAACTTTTTTTAACTCGCCTCTCCTATCGTGTGTATTTCCAAACTGCACAGGTAGCGCGACCGGGTTGCGCAAGACCTGTTCATGTTTCTCTAATGTTTGTYATGTGTGTCTTTCTCCTGAAACAGGTGTTCTAAACTGCAAAATTTCATTGTAATGCAAATTATAATGACAATAAAGGTGATTCTATTCTATTCTTAATGTCTCCAAATAAACTGCATTAAAACCAGCATTGACCACAAACTACATCTTCCACAATGCATTTTGTTTATTTTATCAGCAAAAAAGATGGCATCCTACCATGGTGGAGATGCACATAATTTAAAAGTAGCTGGCAGCTGCTGAAATACACCATGTAAAATCTTAATTCAGCTGCACTGTCAAAATGGTAGCTACTGTAATTTCATTGTGCTCAATAAAAATCTATTCTATTCTATTATTATCATCAAAAGTGAGTAAAACTCACTTTTACTTTTAATAGTATTTCTGTTTTGTTTATTTTCCATTTAGTCAGTCGTTCACATAGAACTTTGCAGTGTTTAGAGGATGTGTTAAAATACTGTTTCAATGCAGGAAATACCAAATAGAGCCCAGTTATTTTTTTGTTAGAGGTGCTTATCTGTAGCAATGAGATGAGGTTAAACATGAAACATCAAATTTAATTACAAATGGCACTTTGAGGGCCACCATAATGCTCATGTGGCCCTCAKTGAAAATGAGTTGGACACCTTTGACCTAGAGTTTAAAATATTAATTATCTTATTGCAGTAGTGGCCAAATGATCCCTTATTTCTGACAGGACCTGTTAGTTTTGACAGTTACAGGTGAACAAAAGAACACGTTAAAAAAATGACCTGGTGCGATGATGAAACACTGTTTCAAAGACCGAAATCAGAGGAAACATTACAGAGAAACATTATTTCTGACATTAGGTTCCTCCCAAAGTGTTTTCTGTTAATGAAAAAAATACATTAACCATTATTGCGATTCAGTGAGAGTTCTTCTGCTCATTACTGATTATATTAGCAGTCATTAGGAAGTTATGAAATCCTCCTCTAAACACTTTTCTTGTTGCATTTTTGTTTTCTGTGCAAGTTGTGTTTGCTCAAGCGTCTAAAAGATTGTTTTGGGGCTCAACTGTTTAAAATAAATATTAGCTCATGGGCTCATTTCAGACATTGCTTTCTTTTATGCACTTTTTTTCTGTTTTTCACCCAAATGTCAGCTTAGCCTTTATGTTCTTGACCCATTTGACTCTTTTTTTATTTTATGCCGTGGCTTTTGTAGTTTGTTTTCACACAAACAAGAGTGCAGACCCTTTTCCCATTTATTTCATTTGCACATGATAAAAAGAAACAAATCTTTTCTTGTCCTCTTTCCATTTTGCTTCAAGCATTGTGGGTCCAAAATTCCTCTTCATGAAAAATAACCATATTTGCTCCTTTTGTCTGTCCATATTTGTTTATCCCACTGCAGAAAGCAGACCTGGCAGCCGCCGGCTTCACTATCACCTCCGAGAGAGAGAAGGTGATTGATTTCTCCAAACCGTTCATGACTCTGGGGATCAGCATCCTGTACCGAGTCCACCTGGTAAACTCACCTACATATTTGTCTTAGTTTTGTCTGTTTGTTTGATCTTTCCATGAGTCAAAAAGACCCTGATTGTTGTTTGTCAGGGTTTTTCTGTGGTATGACCCAAACTCAAACTCAATTTAGTCAATTCTGCTCCAAAATATTACATTTTACACAGTGTCGCATTTAGAGACTCCATTAGTTAAATCTACAAATTAGTTAAGTTTGTAGATTTATTTATTTATTTATTTATTTTTTTTTGCATTCTGTTGTGTACTTTGAGTCTCTAGGAGTGCAGCAAATGTGGGGCTTGTGCAGTTACACAAAGAAAATTAAATATTTTTTTACAAAATGTATAAAATAATGAAAGCTGCTTCAGAGTCTGAACTGCAAAGCAGTAAATAAAGATTAAATCAGAGGACGTGGGTATAAATCACTTTGGATTTGTTGTGAAAAGAACCAGCGAGCTGTTTGTTTTTGCTGGAAAGATGTTGAAAGTTTAATTTATGTCGTAGTCCTTCCTGCAGAGTTGACACGAACTGTTTCAAACTGAACAGCAAAAGTGTTTGCACCTGTTAATGTTTCCCTACCCCCTGCCTCCCATGCACCCCCCACCCCGCTTCAAACCCCCAACGGGTGGCTGATGATTTATTGAATTCGTACAGAAAAAGCTGCAGCTGCTGCAGGAGCTACCTGGAGCTTTGCTGCTGGAAGCATTGATGGTTCTCAACTGCTCCGGTCACTCAGTCAAACTGAGTCCCCAGTGAAGCGACAGGAATGTTTCACTGCAAACAGAAAACAGGAGGAGGTGGTGCTGGTTCAGGAGAGACTTTATCTCCCCTGAACCTCCCATCTAGTCACTAGATAAAAGCAAACTGACAATACAAACAGAGGATTTGTGTGTTTTTTTTTTCCTTTTTTTTTATTCATTGGGAGGGTAAAAAGAGTGACTGCTTTCAAATATTAGTTTTTCAGTCTCTGAGGAATTATTGCTGACTCTCATTTCCTGACTGGAAACTCTCTCTGCTAGTCTAGAATAAAAARCAGGTCCAAAAATTTAGATTTTGTGTGACTGAAGGAATCTGCAGGTTACCAACAGTGCTGAATTTTACACATGTTAAACAAGTCATAAATATATTTGGTGTCTTGTAGGGAGTTGTTTCTTTCTGTTTTTCGTGGCCTGATTTAGAAACTTACAGCCCTGACAAATAAAATTAACGAGTTTTATTTTTTTGTCAAACTTAGCTTTGGGATCAGAGTTACAGCATGGAACAGTTTTTATTTAATAGAAATATGTGTTTTTTTCCTTTACATTTTAYTTTTTTATAAATAAAAACTGATCTTAATAATACGGATATTGTCTTGCGGACACAGACTGTGAATAAGAAACAGAAACACTTATCTACACTTATTTTTCATCAATTTCTAAAATAATCCCAAACAAAAATGGTCTTGCCCTGTGATGGACTTGCGACCTGTCCAGGG